GCTGAGCTGGTTTCCTGTTGACTTTTGATGTGGTTCAGGGATCAAGAGGCCAAAAGACAAGGAAGTTGAGGGAGGGGAGACCCTTAGTTGGTGACCCATTCTGAGAGCTGGGGCACGTTCATTCATTTACTAAACACTGAACACCTACTGTGTGCCAAGCAGTGTACTGGGTGCTCAAGCACGAACAGCACCATCGCATGCATGGATCGGACTTGGAGAAGACAGTGCGTCTTTCCTGGCTGTGTGACCTTGGGCTCTCACTGAACCTCTCTGTGCCGCTACCTCATCATCTGCCTCATCATCTGCTAAGGAGGAGTCATAACCGAGCACCTCTGGCTGCAGTGCGGGAGAACGCACGCAGGGAGCACGCGAGACCTCGGGCTCAGATCTGCGTTCGGGCCACGCCCCTAACTCCTGCACCAGGCTGCTCCTAGGAACGCCCTCGGGCGCTTAGGTCAGGGGTTGGAAGCCAGAGCTCCATGCAAGCGGCTCGTAAAGCTGGCTTAGTCCATGGAATCCCACAGGCTCAGGGAGACTCAGGTCGGGGTTACTTAAGGCTACAGAGTCCGTGCACAGAACCCTGGAACAGCGCACCGTTGCGGAGCCAGCACCCACGCCAGGACGTCCGCACTGGCCACAGGAGGTCTGCGGGAAACAGGTTGGGCGGCCGGGGACACGAAGCCCCGGCGACGGTCGCTCGATCGCCTAGCGAGTAACGCGCTTGGTCGTAAACCCGCCTGGCGGCCCCTGGCTCCAGCTACGAGCCGTGGGAGGGGAAGGCGAGAAGCGTGGCCTCGCACCGGCCGCCCGGTCTGCAGGCAGCGCACAGGCTCCTGCCTGGGAGCCCTATTGGGGAACGCCTTCCGCTGCAAACAGGATGTCCGGTCTCGGAGCGCCCTCTGCTGACCCGAGCTGAGAATGCAAGCACCGAGGCCGCCCGCCCTTGACCGCGGGAACTCAGAGACACAGGTTCCAACTGCTTGGGCTTGAGGCACCTGCAGGCTGGAGACAGCCCTTCCAAAAGGCACCTGAGCCCCCGCCCCACGGCTGGCTCTGCAGCTCCGGGTGATAAACGGACAGGAGCAGAAGTCAACCGTGCCTGCCTCAGGTACACAGCTTTGGAGCACTCGTGGAATAGAGTTCCCTGGCCACCCCCCCCCCAACTCTCAAAGCCTCCCAGGCCCACCCCGCGGCTTCTGGGCTTTCGGGAGGTCACAGGAAACTCCCTGCCCCATGCTGCCCTCGACCTGTGCTAGGGCCTCTCAGAAATGGGACCCTCCCCTGTCGCTGTGGGAGTGTGGAACGGTGCGGGTGTGTGGAGTAGTCTGCAGCTCCTCGGGAATTAAATATGAAACTACGAATGACCCCGCGGTTCTATTCCTCGGTATCTACCCCAGGGAAATGGAAACATGGGTGACATAAAGACTGGCAAGCAAACTACGCTGCAGCAGCTTCGTTTAGGATAGCCAGAAATGAGATGACCAAGTGTCCACCCACCAGTGAACAGATGCACAAAACGTGGGGGGTGCACACAGTGATCACCTGGCCGTCAAAAGGGATGAAGTGGAGACGCAAGCTAGACAGGGACGAACTGTGAAGGTATTGCGTTGAGTGGGAGACCAAGGCTGCAGGGTGCAGAGCAGGGTCCATAGTGCAAGTGGGTCAGTGGTTCCGAGCCGCCTCCGCTGCACCCTCCTTCGCCCAGATGCTCACTAAAGCTCAGGCCCGCACGTCTCTCTTCTGTACTTTCTCGGGTTACTCCACTCATTGTCATGCCATCACATGGCACCTCTATACTGGCTCCTGGATTTAGATAATGAATTTGAACCTCTTTTCTGAGCACTAGAATTGCATTCTGAAGTACTAGTTGCCACCTCACACACACGGCAAACATTAAAAATAAAACTCTCATCCGCGCCCCCATCCAACACTGTCCCCTATTTCCATCTTGCCCATCTCAATAGATGGCACCACCATCCACTTGGTAACTCAAACCAGCAGCCCAGAAATCACCCTGAGCTCTTCATTCTCCCTCCACCCTCACCCTAACATCAGTCCAGCCCCAGGAGTGTTCACTCTGCCTTGAAGATGTGCGTCAATGCTGAGCGCAGAGCAGCTAGATGGTGCCCAGCTGCCTCGCCACCGCTCTGAAAGGGATCACGAGGCGGCCCTGGAGAGAGGGGAGAAAGATGTGCCACAGAACTCCCAATCATGAAACAGACCAGGGCTAGGTGCCCGATAAAGACGGTGAAACCCGAGACCATGGCCCCTACACACCCTTCAAGCCTGGACCTGAACTCATGCCCATGGCTCAACCTCCAGGCTTATTAGGTAAACAATAACTTCAGGGAACTACTCCTGTCAGAAACATCAACCATGTGAGAGCAGAAGGGCGGCATTTGCCCAGGGATGAAGCTCAGAAGGCAGGGACAGAAAAAAAAACAAAACTCATATAAAAAAAGCTGTCCCTCAAGCCCATCCATTTCTTCCCTTTTCCACACCGTAGCCTGGCCCAACCCCCACCCTCTCCCTCCAGGCCTCTGCAGCAGCCTCCTGACCGGCCCCTGCATCCAGGCTCCTCTTCCCCAACACGGATCAAGCCAGAACTGTGCTCTGAAGAAAAGGCCAAAGTATGTCCACTTGTGGTTATGGGGAGGGCACAGCTCATGGTGATGGAAGACTGCACTAAGGGTGGGGTTGCACAGCTGACTCTTGTAATTGATATCAAAAGCTGTACATCTGTGGAAAGGTGAAGTGACCAAAAACAAAACCATCTTGCCCTGCTCCCGTTTAACCCTTTCAAGACCAAATCATTTTGTTTCGAAGTTTTGTTGGAACCATGTTTTCAGCAACGGAAGGCATTTTCAATGAAGTGAAATCAGTTGTTTTGAGGTAATATGGATTTTGATACGATGGGTGGGACACATGTCCCAAGGAGTCACTGGGGCTGGGGTTGGTGGGGCAGTTATATAGGCCCCCAGCTGGTGGCAGCACACTGTAAAAATGCGATAGCAGGTTCCCAGTAAAACCCAGAGGTAGATGTGGGTGGGCACCGTATGTCCCAGGTCATGCAAGCAGCTTCCTATTGAACCTAGAATTTGGTTCACCTCTTCCCCAGTGCCCACAGGGCTCCATCTTCTCTAGAACCTGGACTCTCAGGCCTCAGACCTCCATCCTGTCAGTGCTCTGGCCCACTGGTCCACCTTCAGCTCTCCTACCCCAAGGCCCTGTTTGCTGTTCTCCCTGGCCTGAACTGTCTCCACCTGCCACCCCCAGGCCACCCAAGTTCCAACATAAAGGCTCCTTGTCAGTCTCCAAGCCTCAGCTAAGCGTTCCTCCGCTGTGAGGGCCCTCCAACCAACCTGACTGTTCCCTCCAATCCACCCACAAGGCTCTCCATGGCCCCTTCAGAGCACACACTAACCCCCCAGTTATCTTGTCTCCATCACTAGAATGGGGTCCCATGAGGAGGACCATGCAGGCCATGTTCATGGTGGCATCCTCACGACACAGATGGCCAATGTATGTCTGCCCAGTGGATCCATGGCTTAAGGACAGAACCCCTGCCCCATCCCATTCCCACTGAGAATGAAGGTGTCAAATGGCAGAAACCACAAAGACCAAGTATAGGAGGGAGTCGCGTTTTGGAATCTGGAAAGTGATGTGAAAGTGGTCATTCTCAGCCAACTCAAGGGAGCAGGTTCCTGAGTGGCAACAGGGGTCAGAAGAGCTGGCTTAGTCCATGGAATCCCACAGGCTCAGGGAGACTCAGGTCGGGGCTACTTCAGGCTACAGCAGAGTTTGGGAGGCAGGTGACCTACAGTCCCAGTCCTATCACCACCACTTACGGTCACTCAGGACACCACTGCCTCCCTCAGCTCCGTTCAGTCCCATCAAGCAGACCGGGGTCACTGCCATGCCTCTGGGGGATGCTCTGGGGGTGGAGGGATAGCAGAGACCAGGTGCCGGCCCTGAGCAGGGGCTCAGCCTCACAGAAGGAGCCCTCCTTGGGAAGGAGCTGGACGTGGCACAGCCCAGACAGGAGCTGTGTGGTGAAGCCATTCGGGGCCCACACCTGGCTCTCCTAGCAGGACTCCGCACCCCACAGCCTCTGGCATTTCCTCTCTTCCCCAGAAGCATGGCGGCCTCCCAGGGAAGGCACAGGGCCCTGTGAGACCCAGAGATCAAGGGCGTCTCCAGAGCAGCAGGCAGCCGATGCCATCAGACACCCACCCAGCTCTTCAACGGTTCCAGTGGTCCAGCTCCCTAGGCCCCTTTCTGGCTCTAAGCGTCCAGCCTTCCTTCCAGTTACAGCTGGGCTTCTCGGGGATGACTCCGTGACCCCTGCCCCACCGGCCCCTCTGCTGCGCTCACTGGAAGCAGATGCCCTTCAAGGCCAGGAGGACCTTCTCCACGCAGGATGCCACGCCCGGGCCTGAGATCAGTCGGGGGACTGGTGGGATGAGACCCCCACAGGGAGCTAGTCAGTGCCAGGATGCACTGCCTCGTGAAACATTAACATGAGATAGAAAGGAGCCGGGGGACTGGCCCAACTGGTTCTCATCCAGACCTCAGCCAGGAGGCTCTGGCCCACCCTGGCCTCCCCAGGCCGGTGGCTGCCCACTCCAGCAAGTGTCAGTGACTCCGAGGTGGAGGAGGGCACGGTCCCAGAAAGAAGGTGGGCCGTGGTCATTCCTCTATCAATCTGGTTACTGCAATGGGCCCTTACCCATATGTGGAAATCTCTTGTCAAAACCCCAACGGCCAGACAGGGGACTCTCTTGTTTTGACATGATATCCCCTGGCACAACTTAAGATATGAGATTCTTTCTAGGTACTTCAGACACTCGGGAGGAAGCTACTGCATGCCAACCACAGACACCGCCACAGAGGACACCATGTAAACTGTGCGTTTATTAGCGTCACCACTGTTTGCCGGATGGCTTCCAGTAGTCAAGGTAGGCTGCATGGAGGAGGCAGAACACGTGCACAGCAGGTTCCTATTTCTTCCACTCATTCTTGTCGTAGTCCCACTTCGCAGAGAAGCCCTGGATGGGGCTGACCTTCATGTCTAGCATCCTCTTGGTCTGCTTGGCCACCCACTCCTCCTCAAAGGTGTGAGGGACAGGGCCATACACTGCAGTTCAAGACAACAGCGGGAGGCAAGGTGGTCTTTACAAGTGGTTTGCAAGCCAGCGAGCCAGGTGGGTTAGGGCCCGACACTGGCCAGCTGGCCGGCAGTCATCTGCCACACTGGTACCCCCCACAAACACAGTTCTGGGCAGGGACAGCTGTCAGTTCTTTTAAATAACTCCTTTGTTTACAGAATAACCTAAAAGCAGCACGTGACCTCTACAGGAGTGGACAGTAGGGCCCACAGGCTAGTACGTAGCACAAACAGAACCTAAGAGGACTTGGGAGAGCCAACACAGGAGCAGGATGTGTTACCTGCTACCGGAAGAACAGGTTGCACCTATTCAAAGTGAAGCAGCTCTGGTGGCACAGTGGTTAAAGTGCTCGGCTGCTCCAAGGGACAAAGATTAAGGCAGGCGGTCTGCTGCTGTGACGTTACCAGCCCTGGAAGCCTCTGGGCGGTCCCACGCTACAGAGTCGCCGAGCTGACATCAACTCAGCAGCGGTGGGTTTGGGTTTACAGAGTGACAGGCTGCCTAATGTGCCTGACAGAAAACCCAGAAAGAGAGGTGCTCCAGAGCGTCTAGGCAGAAACCCCAAGGTCAGAAGCCCCAGAGCACTTGTCACTGGGACGCTGTCCTATACCAGCCCAGAACTGATGCACCCTTCTTCCCTAAGCCAGCGGATACTGGTCACAGACACTGCCACTAGGTGGTCTTGTGGGGAGAGTACGGGGGCATTTCCACTCCAGGCCAGAGAGGCCCACGGGAAGTCACAGTCTGGCTTCTAAGTCAGCCTCCCATGACATCAGCCAACTTGAGCCAGCATCTGGAAACCTGGTAAGCAATCTTAAGGTGGACCCTGCAGGGGGTCACCATCCTGCAACTCAACATGCCTGGAGGCCACCCCACAGCCCGCCCCTCGGCTGAACGGGAACCTTCAGCCGACAGGAGAGGTGCCTGCCACCCGCCCCTCGCTCACCATAGTGCTTCTCCCAGATGAGGATGAGTGCAGTGAAGCCGATGAAGAACAGGGCAGTGCCCACAACCGTCTTCCACTCGTTGGTGCTCCTGTTCATTTCTGCGAAGCTCTCGTTGAATTTAATGCGGTACACTGCAAGGAGGAAGAGCCGGCTCGTGGGCGGGGGAGCCTCAACCAACAGCTCTCTTTCCCGCCGTCCTCAGCCATCAACACAACTTGTCTGATCACAGGGCAGAGGGCATCCCACGCACACTCAGCCACACGGCCTCACACATGCTTGCTCATTCTCTCTCACTCGCTCTTTCACACACACACACACACACACAGGGTCAAGAAGGAAAGAAAACGAAGGTGGGAGTTTGCTCTGTAAACCCACCACCACCACGAGCCACGCTGTGTCCTTGCCCCGCTCCTGTGGGTGTGCAGTCACGTGCACAGAGCCCCGCTAACGGAGAGCAAAGGGCCCTGGTAGGATCCGGACAGCAGACAGAGCAGAGAAAGGGGCCGTGGAACGCCCCAGAGAAAGCCAGCACACCTCCTTGTCCCCCTACTCTCCCACTCCCCAGGACACACAACGGAGGACTCACACCCCAAGGCACGAACAATTCTTGCCCTCACACACGCTTTCCGGTGACGCCCAGCAAGATGCTGGTTCAACCGAAACCAGGGTAGAGGCAGCAGCCTCTATGGCAGGAGCACCACCCTACATGTTCTGTGAACCATCCCACTAGTCCGCCCAAGAGCCCAGGTGGCAGGGACTGTACCCTTTCCACAGACAACCACTAAGGCCAAGGACACACAGGGAGTGGAGGGGAGCCGGGGTGCAGAAGCAGGCCCAGGGAGCTGGCCCGCCCGGCACACGCACAGTGCAGTGGTCAGCTCCCAACATCCGCCCAGCCTTCCCGTCCCCCAGCTGCAGCGAGCAGGGCTGCCCTGGCACCCACCAGCCTCAGGTTGACCCCCACTGCTGACGGATATACTGCAAGGGTTCACTGAGGCCAGGCACTAGTAACCAGGCAGCTGGAGTCACCTCACTGAGAATTTTAGAAGATGGTACTGGCAGCCGTGACGACAGCTGCCAGGGGCCCAGGGTGAAGAACCCTGGAGCTCAGAGTCCAACTCTCCTTGCAAGGAGGAGGGCCCGAGGCCCAGAGAGGGAAAGACTGAGCTGGTACACCACACAGCTACTACACGGCCAGCTCCAGACCCAAACCCATGTCCTCAGCCCGTGGCTTTCTGCTTAAGGACCCTGGTGAGGACACTAGGCCACAAGCTTCACTGCCAGCAGGCGTCACAGAACAAAGAAACCATGTGACCTAGAAAGCAGGTCTATGGACAGAATTCTCTTCCTTCAAGCTCTGCAGTGGCGGCAGGCTGCCGACTAAACGTGCACCCTCTATTCCCACACTAAGCGGGTGCTGGGGTGCAGGCCTTCTGGTGAGAGGGTGGGAAAACCTGGGGACAGACACAGGGTGGCTGAGCAACCGGATACACGGAAGCAATGGCACCGGCTGGACACGGGCAGAGCGCAAGCGGCAACTGTTCGACACCTGAATGTTACCACGGAGAGAAAAGCAAGCAGGACAAACAAAACCAAACGTCCGTCTTGGTCTCCAGGAGGTGGGGCTGGCGCTGAGCCGCGGCACACGCCTCCGAAGCAGCGCTGCCTCCTCTCTGGGCCGGAGGACGACGGGAAGCACGCCGGGCACTCCAACCCGGCCAGCAGCGCGGGGCTATGCCGCTTCCTAACTGCACAGGTCAGGACACGCACCTGGGGGCTCGCTACGCAGTCCCGGGACTCCACCCGTCACCCATCACCATCAAGTCCCAGGATCCCATCAAGCCTGACTCCCAGCTCCTCCGGCACAGGCAGCCCTCATGCACACGTGCGCCACACTTTCCCCTGGGGGTGAAGGACGGTGTCTAGCCACGAAGCCACAGGCAGCACCAGAACTGAAGGCATTACTGTCAAACAGATGACACCAGGGTGGGCGTGGCTGCAATGCCCATCGATACCCACGTTCTACTTTCTCGTCGATGGACAGGGAGCTCCAGGCAGCCTTCTCCTTCTCCTTCAAGGCCTTCTGCTGGGCAGACAGGTTCTTCACGTGGGCCACATCAGGCAAGGGGTAGTCACGCCGGTCAACATAGGCCGGGAGAGCATAATCTTCATGCTTCACGACACTTCCTAAAAGCAAGATAAACACACGTGAAGTTCACACAGGCTGAGACCAAAACCAGATTCACTAACCTCGAGTCCATTCCGACTCGTCATGACCCCCACGGGGTTTCCAAGGCTCTCAACCTTGACGGGAGGAGACTGTGTCAGCTTCCTTCCATGGGGCAGTTGGTGAGTTTGAACCACCAACCTCTTGGTTAGCCGCTAAATGCCTTACCCACTACACCACCAGAGCTCCTCACAGGCCAACGGTACTCGTAAAACCAGCAACAAGCATGCGGACACACACTGAAAGGCCTGTGTGTGGGACAGGGAGCAGACGTGTCCTGCGCAGCCCCGGACACACAGTGAGGCTGGTAGGCAGCCGCGTGATAGGAAGCTCTTCCCATCACAGAAGAGGCCTGCCGGCCACATCGCGAATAAGCACAGGCTTGCTGCCTCCCGAGCGGGCACGCTTCCTGCCACCAAAGTGGTCAAGCAGAAGTAGAGAGCTGCTTGCAGGGTTCCCTGCCCTGGACTAGAGGCCCTTCTGCTGGAACCCAAACTAACGAGGAAGAAGAAACGCAAGGCATGATCCACAGGAGAAAGGTGTTCCAGGTTCAGACACATGTGAAAAGGTGGCTCCCGCGGCCTCGTTTACAACAGCAGAGAACTGGGAACAGTCTGTGCCCCACAGAGACCGAGCGCAGAGATGACACCGTCTCCTCAGAAACCTGTGTCATGGAGCCATTTACTCCACAAACATCGGCCAAGCACCCGCTCCATGCTAAGCATGGTTCCAGACGAGCAGACCAAACGCCATCGAGTAGAGCCCCACTCCGGAGGCGGGAAACGAAAGACCTAACCAATGGGCATGCAGCAAGCAAAAAGAAGAGCTGGCCCCAGAACAAGATGGCCTGTGTTCTTTCAGTCACACTGTGTGTAAATAAACACAGAGTCCTGAAGAGGAAACCCCAAATCGTGACCAATGGGAGGAGGGGTGGACTGAGCAGGGTCTTTTGCTGCTGGCGTAGTGCCTAAGGCATGTGACTGCTAACCAGATGGCTACAAACCCCCCAGCCGCTCTCCGGAAGGAAAACTGGGCAATCTACTTCCGTGAAGATTTACTGCCTTGGAAACCCAAGGAGGGGTCGCTATGAGTCGGAATCGACCCGATGGCAGTGAGTTCTCTGCTGTCTTACGGCCTCACCACCTATCACCAAGGGGAAAAGCAGACAGCAGAGGAAAGGCCTGTCTCGCCAAGGACTGCCTCACTGCTCGGAGCCCTCTGTACAGCTCTGTCCGACACGTGCTTCAACACTGCGTCCCCGCTTGGCCGCAGATCAGAAGGCCTACTTCCCCTCCACCACAAGGCCCAGTTACCCAAATCTCCCCAATCTTGTTAGCAGTGAAGGGACATGTTAATCTGAAAGCAGTGAGATGTCTCTAGATGCTTATCTTGGCTACCAAGTGGCCAGAGCCCTTCCATACTCCTACCCAACCTCACCTCAAAAGTTCTGGGGTGAAGATGCTAGAATCGTTTTCTGATTTCAAGATTACAGCATTCTATTACAGTGACAACCACACTAAAAATAACGGCCAGACACTGGACAGTGATCAAGTTCACCCCCCCCCAGATGCACAGAGCTCCAGAGGATCTAAAGCACTCAACAAGCACATCCATCATTAAAGAGACGCCAACCAGGACAATGAAAAGGTTAGAAGACCGAGTGTGGTGATGGCACCTGCTCTCTGAATAACTAAAGACCCTGAGTAGTACACGTCACATGATTGCACTTGATGTGAATTACATCTCAATAAAGCTGTTACAAAGAAAGCTACAGGGAAACTCTCATAACCCCAGAGCAAACTATGCATAAGGCTGAAACTTCTAGAACAGGGCAGCCAGCTCAAGGTCGTAGCATTGCCAGGGATCCTTTGGTCTGGTCCCCAGAAAATAGAGGGTGAAAGCAAAAACTCACACCCCAGATGCTCCTTAAGGAAAAAACGAGAGAGAATAAAGGCGGCATGTTCTACCGAGGGCTTGTCTTCCACTGAGGCTGTCTCGTGGGCTGAGTGCCTTGCTGGTGAAATCAAGCTCACCTGTCAATCAGATGAGTCACTGTACCAAAAAAGAGCCAAACCAACTACAGTGGTTACCAGGCACACTCCTTACTGTTTCAGTATTTTATACGGACAAGTTTGAGTACTCATGCAGGACCTGAAGATAACAACTGAAGGACAACTCTGTCTAGAGTTGGTCTTGTTCGTCGGCCTACTATGTGCTGGAGGTAGACAAGCAAGGTCCCTGGCCGCAGGTGTACACTCACGCAGACAACACACAGCCGCACAACTGAACACGAGCACGTCACGCCAAGGAAAACCAGGCAGGTGCTGTGCAATGGGGAGGGCTAAGAATGGGTTCAGGAAAGGGCCTTCTGAAATCACACTGGCACTGCGTGAACAGTCTGAGAGCCAGCCAAGCACAGCTCAGGGACTCTGGGGCAGGAGGCGCCAGCTGGTGTACGAGGTGCAAATGGGGCGGGGGTGTGGGCACTGAGCAAGCGGGCAGAGGTGGTTTGGGCGTTGGTTTTGAGTAGCGTGGTGAGATCCGAGAGGCAGGCAAGAGCAGCTGAAGGGGCCAGGTTGTAGGCATTACTCTGGGCACAAAGAGAAGTCACTGGCGGTTTCACCAGGGGAAACGACGTGGTCTTGCTCTCCCTGCCAAAAACACGATGCCTAGTGAGTAACCTGTGGCCATCACACTACCCCGTGGAGCTATAAATTGCCTTCATACAAAGTTCTGAACGACCAGGAAAGGGCATGAGGAACTTTTGTGGGTGATGGGGATGTTCTAGGCCTGGCTGTGGTTATTCAACCGTGTCAGGTGGTCAAATGCAGAGACCACTGCACCCAGACTGTCAGTTATACCTCAAACAAACAAAACAAGCTAAGGAAATGTATCAGCAAAGCCAAACTAAAACAAAATGTAACTTGCATGTAATTGCATGTAAGTTCTCTCTGCATGTACTAGTTAAAACAAGTCCTTTTTCTTTATGCCCCAATTACTGATACAACTATTTCACTAAGGCTCTCACTAGAATTACCTGTTTTAGACTCAGGTCCACAGTGCTACCCCGGGCAGAATAAAGAACAGAGAGCAACATGGCAGCACCATCCACTGACGAGCAGCATCTCGGAGAAGCACAGAAAGCGTGGACATGACAGTGGTCACCACAGACAAAGCACTAGAGGCTAAGGCCTCCCGGCATCATCAGTGACCCTCAATGCTGGGCAAGCCGCCACGCCAACTCATGGTTCTAACTCTGCTGCTTTTCCCTTCGCCTGGAATGCCATTCCACTCTCCAACGTAAGGCTAATGCTACTCGCCCTTCAGTAAAGCAGAACCTCTCTCCTAAACCGAGTCAAGCTAAAACCCTCTCCTCCAGTGCTACCATCTCTTACTGAGGCACTGTCTTCGCGTGTTCGTCCTGCAGACTGTAACCATCACTATCTCGTGGTTTTTTTTTCACTGTCTCCAGCGTTACACAATGAAGATGCTTCCTATACAGAACTCACCTTGCTACATGCTGTGCACTGCACTAGGCTCGTTCCATGAACCTCAGAGGAGGAAACAGAGTCCTGAATGAAACAGCTTGTCCAAGATCGAACTGAAATTTGAACACAGCTCAGTCGCTATAAAGTCCAGTTTTGTTCACTTCCATGACACCTACACTGTAAATGGTACTACATGGTTGGGAGTTTTGTCGGGGGAAAGAAGGTTAAGGTCAAGTACAGTGGAGATGATCTTCTGATCATCTAAGGCATCTGGTACCTAAAGATGATTCGAAGAAAGAAACTGAGTCCAAGAGAAAAAGATTGAGCAGGGTAGTTAAGGAAAGGGGAAAGAAAAATCAGTAGAAGAAAAGACTAACGGTGAGTACGATTCCTCACACTCCTGAATCCAGAACGAGGCCCTACTGAAACAGGCATCCCTGCTCAAGTCCCTCAACAGCACGGTCAGGAGGTCAGTGATCTCTGTGTGAAACTCCAGTGCCCAGGAAAGGGTCTTCTACGTCACAGGAGCAAAAATGGAACATATTTATGTAAGAGCAAAAATCACACTTACCATGCGCTCGCACACACACCGAGGTGGAGATGGCTCGTTTGCCGATCAGGCTGAACACCCTGGTAGCCAACATTCTGAAAGACAAGAGCAAACACCTTCTCCATGAACAAGGGACCCCTGCCAGGAATGAGCTTGCTTTCTGTCCCTTGGCATCTTGGGCTTTCATGTCATTTTTCTTTTCCTGCTTCTGGCCAACACAAACCATCCATTCTTCATCACTAACTCTGGACTCTCAATAACCCAGGATGAGGTTTTACAACAGGTTTTTATGCAGCTTTGCTATAGACCAAGTACCGCAATAGGCTTCCGGGACTTAGTAGAAAATTAACCTTCTTTAAACGGGAAAAAAAAAGGAATAGGAGACTGAGAAAATCCGTGTTGCCAGGTGGGTAACATTCCTAGGTACTGGCCCCCATTAGATTCGACTATTTGTTTCAAAATTTAACACGTGCATAAGATCTGAAGGTGCACTAGTGACAATACTGCAAAAACAGTGCGGTCCACGAGCAAGTGCCGCACAACTGTGACCTCGATGACTCACTCCCTCCTGGGCTCTTTCTGATTCGGGCCCATTTACCGCCCCCCCATCTGCCCTTTAAAACTGGACCCTTCAGAGGACTGTTGACTAAAAGTATTCCAAACGCACCCGGAAAACACCCCCAGGAAGACAGAGCTAGCAGAGGAAGGACGTCGCTCCCATCTCGAGCTTCTCCTCCCGCAGGGCCCGCGCGTGGGTGGACGCAGAGCGCCCTCCGGGCCCGGAAGCGGGGCGCCTCCCCGGGAGTCCCGTATTAACCCCGGCGGTGGTGGCAACGAGATCGTTTCAAGAGGTGAAGGGCCGAGGCTGCAGCGCGGACACTGGTACTGCCTCCCGGGGCCCGCACCATCGCCTAGCGGGCACCTCAAGGTCAAGGCCCGAAACCCGACAAGGGCCGCGTAGTCGCAGGTGAAACCGAGCGGAACGCCTCTGCGACTCACAAAGGCCGCGGCCCCGCGACCCCGGAGCCCGGAACCCCCACGGGCGGGCTTCAATGTCACCGGGCTCCGCGGTCCAACCGCCGCGTCCCGCTCAGCATCAAGCCGCCGGGCCGCTAGGGAGGCCTGGCTCCTGGCCCTTCGACCCTCCTCGGCCTAGCTGCGCGGCGTCTAGCGTCCCAGCCTCACCTGCTACCGCCGCCCAGCAGCTACCCGCCGCGACCGCCCTCTAAGCCGGGCTGCTTGCGACCGGAAGAGCGCGAGGCCGCCCCGCGAAGCACCACGGGATCGAAGCAGACTCCGCCCCGCGCCCGGCCGCGCGGAGGTCAAGGCAGAGCGGAACAAGGTGAGTGCAGCGAACGCCGTAAAAAGCCCGGCCGCTCTGCTTTCCGGCCTGCGCTGGAGACACCACTTTCCGGCAGTAGCCACGAGCGAGCGGGCTGAGGCGGGGCGTCTCTGGCTTTCTGGAGAAGTGAGTTGGTCTCCGAGGAACCAAGGCCGAGAGGGAGACCGAGCCTTTGGGGGCCTCTGCCAGCCGCGGGGCCGCGCCGGAGCGTCACCGTCGCCTCATTCTGCTTCTCTGCTGAGGCGCCGCGCGGCCGGACAGCGGGTCCAGGCCTAAGCCGGGCGCCCAGGGCCTTCCGGGGCCACCCGGGCTCAGCATGCCCGGGGTGAAGCTGACCACCCAGGCTTACTGCAAAATGGTGCTGCACGGCGCCAAGTACCCCCACTGCGCCGTCAACGGACTCCTGGTGGCCGAGAAGCAGAAGCCGCGCAAGGAGCACCTCCCGCTGGGCGGCCCGGGCGCGCACCACACCCTCTTCGTGGACTGCATCCCCCTTTTCCACGGCACCCTGGCCCTCGCCCCCATGCTGGAGGTAGCTCTCACCTTGGTAAGCCCCGCAGAGGGCGCCTCGGGTCGGGTCGGCGGAGGGGAGCGCGGCCGCTCCGGGGGGACCTCCGGAAGGTGGGATGAGCCACGCCGAGCGCTCGGGTCCCGGCCGCGCTCGGAGGAGCAGCAGCGGTGACCTTAGCCGCCGGGGATGTTCCGAACCGGGTGAAAGGACCCGACGGGCTTGTTGAGGTTCGGAGTTGCGAGACGTTTTCCAGGCTAGCGCTTGGCGTGTCAGCACCTTCCCAGGGGCCGTTCGTGATCGGACGTTGGGTGCAAACGCAGGGGCTCTTTGGACCGTAGGCCTCGGGACGCAGGTCAGACAGGTTGGGGAAGGGCGGCGTGGACGGCCGAACCCGGCGCTCGGGACCGGGCGTCTGCCTCGTGCGAGGAGAGCTCGGCTGCTCCCGGTCGGGGTTAGTGACTTCTCCGGAACGCCTCCCCTGGTTTCCCAAGGGAAAGCATTTTTGCGGAATTAAAGAGCAGGATCCGCGCGTCTTCCGACGCACGGGACCCTTGGGTGTCGCTGCGTGCAGGGGACGGCCTTGCTGAAGCGCCGGGAGGAAAATGTGGGGCGCCCGCCTAGACTGGCTGGGCACTGAACTCGAGGCAAACCCACTGCCGTCGGGTCGATCCGACTCACAGCGACCCCCTTGGCTTTCCCAGGCGGTGTCACTACGGAAGTAGGTGGCCCAGTCTTCTTCCGAGGAATGGCTGGTGGCTTTGAACCGCCAGCCTTCTGGTTAGCAGTCAGACGCCTTAGGCACTGTGCCACCGTTTTTGAGAAGAAGAAAGGAGTGTGGGTAAATTCCCTTGCGTTGTTAAAACCTTAGGAAGACACGAACTGTTGGTCTCAGCCCTTCCTGGGAGCTGTGTGGTTTCTTTTCCACTGAAGTATCACCTGTGATATAGAGTCGTATTCATTAATTCATTCAAAGGGTGGTTGAGAAGGTGTAGGTTGAAATCCTTTCTCTATGGTTCCAACTAAGTAAAGTGAATTAGTTCATAATTAACCTGGTAATAATATCCCTGTAAATTCCTGGGAAGCCAGAAGTGCTTTGGGGTGAGTAGTCATGCCTACGGTTACTGAGGACGTCTTTCAATAGCTGTTAAAATTAAACTGAGTCACGGTGGGGCTTTCGTTTTCTCTCACACTGAGTTTCTGTCTTCGAACCATCTGTAGGTACCAGATCAGAAGTCACAAATACTGCTCACCAGTCTTGGGCAAGTCTCTTGCTTGAATATTTGAGTTAGAAACAGCAAAATTTCTTCAAGTCACTTCTAGATAGGAGAGAATATTTGCAAGATCACTGATTTTAAACTCCCAAAGAAATGTGCTGTAGGTACTAGCACTGCACTGAGAAGTGCAGGTGTGGGTGTTGGGCAAGTCTCTAGCCAGTGGTCCCCATCCTTAATAGCGTTTGGCGTGTGAAATACAATGACTTGCAAGGACCCAGATTTATTGGTAGCACCACGCACGAAGATGTGTTTCTCCAGTAGATGTTTTCTGAGTGCCTGCTGTGTGCCAGGCCTGCCCTGGGGAAGGATGTGGCTGTGGATCAAACACACTCCAGGCCTGGAACTCATAACAAGTCTACATTAGTCCGGAAGATCTAGTGCCATGTGTGGGATTAATGGAAAAAAGGTGAGGGACTCAGGACAAGCCAGCCAGCGCAGGGATGGGGAGTCAGGGAAGGAAGGCTTTCCAGAGAGACACGCGAGAGTGATTGAGGGACGGCGTTTGATGCAGAAGCACCAGCACACGCAAAGGCCAGGAGCAAGGGGAGTGGGGTCTGAGGCAGAGGAGAGTGTAAGGGAGCGGGGGCAGGGAGGAGGTGTGAGAGGTAAGCAGTGGGCAGGCGCGGAGGACCTTGTCACTTGAGAGATCCGGGGCACCATCCTGGGGACGAGGAAGCCGCTGGAGGTGAGCTGCGTGAGTGTGACTTTGAGCGGTCGTGCCAGCCTGCAGGGCGGAGGGTATTAGAGATGCGACCAGAGGCAGGGCAGTGAAGACCAAGGCAGGCGGAGGCCTGTGCTGAGCGCAGTGTGGAAGCACGGGACATGGTGAGGGGGAGCCAGGAGGGAGAAGCCGCAGGATTGGTAACAGCTCAGTTACTGCCGTATGCGCAGGCAGGAGACCGGTATGTCCACGGAAGGCACAGAGGCGGAAGCAGGTTTGCACGAGCAGTGCTTACGTCTGTTGGGGACATGGTGGGTTTAAGGTTCAAATGAAGTCTTAAGTGTCGAAAGTTGAAAATAGGTCTTGGGCTCAGAGGACAGGTGGGCTGGCAGTGTGGACTGGGAGCCAGTAGCCCCTCAGTGCCTTTTGAAGCCTGAGAGCAGTCCTGTCTGTGCCTAGGGACAGTGTGTGCAAAGAGAAGAGAGCTATGGGCAGGAGCCTGGGGAGCTCTAGCTTTTTTGGGGTGGTGGGAAGAAGAACCAGCAAGGTGACAGGAGCTTGGGGAGGAGGGAGATGTGCTGCTGCCTCTAAGCCCATCTGTGAATTACTGGAAACAAGGCTGTAAAGTCCTATGAGAAATATCTGAGAGCACCTTAGGGGTCCCTGGGTGGGGCAGAGGTCAAGCACTTGACTACCTGCTGGAAGGCTGGCAGTTGGGAACCACCCGAGGCAGCTCAGAAGACCGGCCTGGCGGTCTGCTTCTGAAAGGTCCCAGCCTTGAAAACCCCATGGAGCAGTTCTGCTCTGCACACGTGGGGTCACCGTGAGTCAGAGTGACTTGACAGCAGCTTATGAGAATGTCTTGAGGACAGACTTGTGCGAGCTTCTCATTCCTAAGTAATTTCACAGGGTTAAAGGGTATGTTCCTGTTACGCGAAAGGGATGCTCTGCTTCAGAGAGGAAATGTGTAAACTACAGACAACTGCGTTTTGAGTCTCCTGCATGGGTTTTCCCCAGTTTCCACTCACTTCGTTGACATTTATCTGCCTGTACTGGTCCCACAGCCACCACCCGTTGGTCATTTTGTCATACTGTGATGACTTGTGTGTGGCTGTGCCAGAAGCCATGCCCCTGGCATTTCAGACACCAGCAGGCTCAACCATGGTGGACAGGTTGCAGAGGCGCTTTCAGACGAAGACTAGGCCTGTTGGTGGACTTCTGAAAGTGAGCCGCTGAAAACCCTATGGATCCTGGTAGAGTGTTGTCCCAGATGGTGCTGGAAGGCGAACCCCCGGCTGGAGGGCACTCGGAACACACAGTGGCCGCACACTGGACTTGAGCAGACTGAGAACAGTGCGGATGGTGCAGGCCTGGGCAGCGTTTCATTCTCTTGGTCATGGGGTTGCCGGGAAGCAGAGCAACTTAATGACAACAGTGGCCCCGAGCAGGCTGCCTCCCAAACCACTTACGTGGTGAGGGAAGGCGCCCAGAGGGAGTCTTGGCTCTAGGCACTAAGGTGGGGCGGCACTGCCACCCGCTTTTCTCACAGTGAAAGGGGCCCGGCACTGGCCCCATGGCCATCTTGCACCCCGCCCTCAGTACTCATGCACTACAGACTCCTGTCACCACTTTCCCCAAACCACCCATCAGCATTGGAGTCTCTTGTCTGGAATAAGTGCTTTCCAGCAATAAAAACAAACAGCTAAACTGTTGTCCCTGTGGAGCAATGGCTGTTTATACCAGCTTTTATTATGTTCACCACAAATTTGAGTTATAGCCTCAGCAGGGGACAAATACGTAAAAGATGCTGATTGGTTCAAATTACGTGGATTTCAGGGGAAAGTTAGAGAGGAAAATTCATAGCTTGAGTCCATCTGAAAGTTTTGTTCTTGGTAGCTGCCTTTGAGTCAGCCCCCAACTAATGGTGACCCACATATTACGGAGTAGAACTGTTCCGAGGGTTTTCTTGACTAATTTGTACAGGAGCATGTTGCCAGGCCCTTCTTCCGTGGAGCTGCGGTGTGGGTTCAAACCACCAGCCTTTCTGTTGGCAGTCCATTGGAGATTACTTGCACCACCCAGGTTCCTGTTGTGCAGTTGAGCTATTTAAATTTATTTCACTCAACTTTTAACTCAGTGACTTTAAAGTCAGTGTTAGGCCCCAGAAAACTCATCTTTGACCATAGTTTGTCACTGTAATTTTCAGAGAGCATCTAAATGCACGTCACTGTGTAAATGCAGCCTTCCTGTCATGGCCCTTTTCTACCCGGGGAGTGTCACGTGGAAATTATTTTTGATAAGTGGGAAAGGCTGACTTGATAAGCAGTCCATCAAAGGCAACATTAGATTCCTTTGAAAGGTTTTTCATTATAATTTTCCATTAAAAAAAAAAAAATCCTTGCATTCCTCTGTGCTTTTTATAGTTTTTATTCCTATTATCTTATTTATCCTTACAACCCTTTGACGTAGGTACTGAAGGAATTATTTCTAATAGCAAAAACCCATAACCTGTTAGAAGGCAAATTAGCATAAACCTGTGGTTCCTCTAAGCCCTCTCTGTCCTTTTCCCTCCGTTGATTTCCTGGTGTTTCACTTCTATTACTGCCTGCCCACAGGGCTCTCCCACCTGCCTCTTGGCCTGATCCACAGGGTTTCCCTGTAGAATTCTTCCAGCTCTGCCTCTTTTCTAAGGCCCCCGACTTGTTTATCTTCAGGCTGCTCTCCAAGCTGCTCACCTGGCGATGCCCTCCTTTCAGTTCCCCCCCGAACCTGGCCCTCGTCTCCATCCCCATTTACCTCCAGGTGCTTCTTCCCCAGGGCCCTGCTCCTTTTTTGCACCACAGAAACCTTCAGCACTGGCTGCAGGGGGGCTGCTTTCCCCATCCACGTTTGGACTCCACGGCCTGCTTGCTGCTCGCCAACACTCTTCCCCCCTTGACCTTCCCTACTTCATGGTTCTTGCACGTCACATGACATAGGTGATACCAAACCCACTGTCGGCAACTCCATTCTGACTCAAAGCGACCCTCTGGGACAGAGGAGAACTGCTGCGTAGGGTTTCCGAGGCTGCTGCTTTGTGGAAACAGAGTGCCTCATCTTTCTTCCGTGGAGCAGCTGGTGGATTCAAACCACTGGCCTTTTGGTTAGCAGCCAGATGTTTGCACCACTATGCCACAAGAGTTCCGAGATAGGTCATACCAAAAAACAAACCAAGCTTATTGTCGTTGAGTCAGTTCCAACTTCTGGCGACCTCATTGGGTTTCCAAGACTAAATCTTTGCAAAAGCAGACAGCCTCATCTTTCTTCCACAGAGTAGCTTGTGGGTTTGAACCACTGACGTTTTGGTTGGTAGCCAGATGCCACAACCACTACACCACCAGAACTCCTAAGATAGGTCGTAGTGTTTTGAAAATTGCAGAGTGCCTCGCACATGCAAAATGCTAGCAGGGTTGCTGAGAGAAGGTGGTGTTTGTCTGCAGAGTCTAATGGGAAATGAGTGGGCTGGGCCCAGTACCTTTCATCATACTCCTCCTTGTTTGGAATGGAACAAACCAGAAAGGACAGGCGAAGGGCCTGGTGCTGAAGTGAAAGTGTCTACCCTCTTTCTGTGGACAGTAGAGGAAACTACAGGAGTAAATGCAGAACCGGGGGCCAGCTGCATTCAGAGCCATTTGTACTGAGTTGACATCAGGTTTCACAGTGTTTTGCCCTGAACTTTTATTTCAGTTTCTTTATAAAGGTGCACAATAGGGGCATGGGTGTCACAGCAGCAGGGCAAGGAGGTGGGAGCGGATTGGTTGAGGGCACAGGTCAGCTGGAGGGAGCGAGCGGGCTCTGCGGTGAAACCAGCACTCCGATCCACTGCCATCAGGTTCCTGCAGGATTCTGGAGCCTGTCGAAACATTGGCCTGCTTGTCCTCACCCTGCACTAATCATCTCCTTCCACACAAGCTCTACTCTGGCCTCCAAGACTCTCACTTAATGTCTGTTTCCGCATTTTAGAGTATCAAAGAAATCCCTGTCCCTTTTCAGCCTCCCTCTGAGCTCTGGTGACTGTTGGGTAACCCTGAGTCTGTGCCCCGCTTCCCACTTTCATGGTCTCCATTCCCCAGTGGTGTGTTGGCCTGCACAGCTATGGGCATCCGTGCAGTAAGCCAGCTCTTTCAGGTGTGTAAAGCCAAGCCAGACCTTGTGTCCCTGGTGTGCCTATAGGGCAGCCTTTTCAAAAGCCCTGGCAGTTTGATGGCACGGTGGGGTTTTGCTGCTGGAGGTTGCTTGGGCCCTTGGGCTTTGCCCCTCATCACACACTGTGGGAGGTGAGACAGCACTGTGATTATCACCATTGCTTGTAAGGATCGTCCTTCCCGTCCGAGGCTGGCTTTGCTCCCGGTGCATTGCTACCTACTCCACAGAGTGAGGGTGGGTGCGTTTGCTGGGGACCAGTCCTAAGCGATGGGTCAAAGCTCAGGAAAGGTACTTCTCCTAGGTACTTGGTGTGCTCAACAAGGACTGCTGCTGGGGATCACCAGGACACCGTCAGTGCTGACACAGGGTGTCGGATCCTTCTAATAAGCCTGGCAGGGCTGTAAATAACGGCCCCAGCAGATGCCCACATCTAATGCCTGGAACCTGTGCAGATGTTGCTCCCTTCCATAGCAAAAAGGACTTTGAAGGTGCAATTAAATTAGCCCAGACCCACTGCGGCCGTGGACAATGCAGAACTGCCCCAGAGGGTTTCCAGGGCTGTGATCTTTACGGAGCAGACTGCCACGTCTTTCTCCCACAGAGCAACTGGTAGCTTCGACCCACCCCCACCTCTCAGTTAGCAGCTGGGCTCTTTAACCGCTGTACTACCAAGGCTCTTGCAGTTAAATTAAGGATCTTTAAATGGGAGAAGATCTGGATTCTCCAGGTGGACCCGGTGTCACAGGGTCCTTATAAGAGGGAAGCAGGGTCAGAGCAGGGTAACGAAGGAGGCTGAAGGCTGAGTGATGCAGGCCGCCATCCAAGGGATGTGGCCTCCAGACACTGGGAAGACCAAGGGGTGACTTCCGGCCTGAAGACAGTGTGTGTTTTCAGTCCCTAATTTGTGGTCATTGTGATGGTGCAACAGAGAACTAAGAGTAGCTTAACCTGAAATGCCATCTGTAGGTCTGGCCTCTGTGTTTAAGGACAGGCCACACTGGAGAGCTGGGGGCAGCGCCCAGCAGTGCAGACAGCTGAGGGCCACTCGTGAGAGACACTCAAGAGATGGGTCAGTCCCCGAAAGCACCGAGGTCGAGAGAGCTGTGTTCATCATACAGGTTTGAGTTGGGGAATGTGGCCACATCCCCAAATTTTTGAGCGAGGCTATGTCTTTTGAGATTTATTAAGAAAAAAATTAAAGAAGTTGCTGCTCTAGGCAGGGATAGAAAGTTTCTAAAACCCCTTTCGTTACGAAGTGATAGGAACAAAACGTAAACAGCTCCGGAGTCGTTTGCAGCAAAAGTCCCACGATGGAGCCGTTGTAAATATATGGGGAACAGTAACCTAATTTTGTGAGTGGACGACCAGAACATGCAGTTGGTTCAGTGAGCCCTGGTTTTGACCCAATATGGTCATTTGTTAGCTCTTGAGAGGGCAGAATTGTGATTTTAATCCTGAGCCAGGGAAGCTTGGCCTGTGGCTGTCTCGTAATATTGGCTTTTAGTCATAAAGGAAACTGTCAGAGCCCAGAAAACCCCAGACCAAAATCCAAGAAAAAGCATTGGGTTGTGTTTAAAATGTAACTATACATGTTTTTAGCCAGTTAATTGACTGCAGAAGAGCAGGGTACCAATTTTGTTTTCGTTTCTGAAGACAGAACAGAATTTACGATGGTTTGTTATTAAAATTCCATTATGGGAAAACAGTTAAGATGACCTTTTGTTATTTTTAATAATGGCATTAGACCTGCAGGAAACTAAGTCTGCTAAAAGGGATTATAAAACAGACCCCTCAAAAAAAAAAAAAAAAAAACCATTCTGGCCCTGTGCTTCCATTTCAGAGCTTACCACCGGGAGTGCACTGTGTGTGCACGTCCCTTCCCGCACCTGCCATGCTTGCCTGTGTACCTGCTTGCCCCACGGCCAGCGTGAAGGGTTTCTCATGGTACATGGGTAGGAATACCGGGATTTAGTCCCGGAAGACGCGAGCAAGTTCCCATTCCGACTCTGCAGCTACCTGGCTGTACAGACGTGTGACCTCTGAGCTTTAGTTTGCTTCTCTACGAAGGACCTGATTTATAGGTTCTTGGGGCCTTACCAGCCCATAGCGCCCCAGTTCTCTGTTTGAAGTGGAGGAGGGTGAAGATCATCCTCCCCCCGCTCCTCACAGCACTGCACCCAACAACGCGCGTGGACACTGGGACCTCCTGCCAACCTGGGGAGGGAGGCCGTTGCTCTTGTCCCCTGCTCTCTCTTCTCCTGCTGATTACAGGGACCTAGCCATCGGTGGAAGCCCATCTCAGGCAGGGCAAGGCATCTGTGCCCTTCCTGCACTTTCTCGGCCTTGCGGGGACAGTGGGAGGCAGGTCAGCTTGGTGTTTTCCTCTGATGAGTGCCTGTTTCATTCTGTAGCCTTTCTTCTGGTGAGCAGGATCCAGGAATATATTGGGTCTTGTCCAGCATTTGGGTGGAGGGGTGCTCCGTGTTTATTGAGACTTGATGTGTAAGGGAGAATCATTCATTTTTTCTTTCCAATTTTTGTTCCTCTTTCAGATTGATTCATGGTGCAAAGATAATAGCTATGTGATTGCTGGTTATTATCAAGCGAATGAGCGTGTGAAGGACGCCAGGTATGTCCCTGTCAAACCTCCTATGTCTGCAGAAGTGCTCGGGGCAGACGGAGACTGTCTCGGTGTGCATTTGCTCTCACCTCCAAACAAATGTTCTGAACGTTTGCACTTAACTTTGGGGTTCTGTTTTCTATCTTCTTTGTTTGGCTGGAAGGAAATTCATCTGATGGACATACCAGTTGGGCCTGCAGCTTTTGCCTCAGCTCAGCCTTGCTTCCCATCCCCAAGCCAGGTGTGACATAGGGCAGAGCAGTGGGGAGCACTTCTGCTCCCCTTTTTTTGGCCCCTGGTTCCTTTGATTCAGACAGTTCCCTCTCTGTGCTTCTCACCAGTGAGCAGCACTGAGAACTGTGTTCTGTCCGCGTCAGTCAGGTCCTGCAGAAGAGCAGAGGGACACCCAAGGTGCGGTAATGTAAGGCGCTCTGTACAGGTGTGAGCAGTGTGCGGGAGCACTCAGGGCAGTGCAGGAACCCAAAGGTCTTGATCAAAGCTGATGTCATCCCTGGGCCTCAGACACGGGGAGGAAAGAATTGGATGAAGAAGACCACCTTGAGAGGAGACACAGCCATCTCTGTGTCACCTCACAAGGTGGGGGAGAGGAGTCAAGGCCCGGCCTGCCCGGTTCCCCTCGTCTGCCTGCCTCCCTTCCCTCTGGTACTCCTTTGGCTGAGCAGATCCAGAAGTCAGGGGACAGATGGAAACAGTCTGCAGGACAGAAAGAACTAGCACCAGCATGCCCAGACAAGGCTGCCCTGTGCTGTTGGGTGCACAGACTGGCTCCAGGTTCCAGGGAGTTAGAGGAGGGAGCAAAGGGATTCAGACCCAAATGCCCCCAGGAGTTATGGACTTATATCCACTTATCCTGTGTTTTGGTTACCTTTGTGCCATTCTAACAGAAAATACCACAAATGACATGCTTTGAACAAACAGGAGTTTATTCTCTTACTGTTTGGAGGCTTTAAGTCCAAGTTCAAAGTGCCAGGCTCTAGGGGCTGGGTGAAAGTTCCTCGACTTTGGCTTCAGCTCTGCCTTCTGCTCCTGACGCACTGAAGCTAAAGTCTTTTCTTCACTCAGACAGCTGCTGGCTGCTGAGACTGACAACTCCAAGGTCAACAAGTAATATGGTGCAGTTCCGATGTTATCAAACCACACGGCAGGCCATTAATTCAAGTCCATTAAAAGTCCCAAGGTCAGCAGAGCATAGCAGGCTGCTGAACAATGACACAGCTACATGCAGGGTTAAAGGTGCCATAAGCTAGAGACCGTTCCCCAAGGCTTCTCCTTATATACAGGAAGCAGACCACATCCCTAAGGCAGCTACTCAGCTGCTCACTGTAGATTCCACCATGGAATTGATTACCAGTCTCATCATGGGGAATACTACCAGCTGCCCAGCCACTCAACCAGGCCCAGTCAAGTTGACACACACACTCAACTACCGTACCCGGTGTGGGCAAGAGGTGGCTTCAACAGCATGTGTGGAAACAACACAACGATCTGATGACCGGTCATTGTTATCCTTATGGATGCACTTGAGAAACATAAGCCTTGTCCTCGGAAGACCGATTGTGGTCTCAGGGCGGTGGGAGGTGGGATAGCCGGAGAAAGCTGGACCAGATGCCTCCTGCCAGCGAGCTTTGCTAAGGGCGCCTCTGCAGATCTGTGGGCTTTGCCCACTGCCTCTCTGGCTGTTCCTCTGAGCACTTGTTTCTCCTCCTTCAGTGCACCTCTTACTTGCCTTGCTCCTTCTCTGATTTCAGATACCTCTCTCCCTGTTCAGATGAGTAGGTGTCTGCGTTGCCACCTGAGCTGCAGTCCCTGTACTTACTGTGTGGGACACCTGCCATGGGCCAAGCTCTGTGCTGAGCGAGGAAGACACATAGCTCTAAGCTCAAGAGGAAATACCACAGACACACAAATGAAGTGCACAGTGTGACCTGTACTGGGAGGCTGGGAGAGCGTGTTGTGACAGCAGACGTTAGGGAGGAGCTTCTTCAGTTGATGTGACCAGGAACGTCCTCAGAGACTTCCTGTGAGCCAGCCCTCAGGAATGGATGGGATTCTGTAAGGTGCAGATGTGGAAACCAGGAGGTGAGGGTGTTCCTGGCAGAGGGGGACTGTGGCAACAACTCAGGTTGAACATGTGAGAAGCTGCATTTAGGCAGGAGTGTAATATACACACCCAAAAGGAAGTGGTAGAAAGTGAGACAGGAAAGGTAGGTTGAGGCCACAACCTCAGGGTCTTAAGGAATTTTGAGCTTTATCCAGAGTGGGTGGCTGACCCTGGGAGCAAGGCGTTCTCATAGCCACTCCTATAGACAGAGAAGAAACTAGGCAGTAGCTAATGGCAGCAGATGGTCAGTTTAGTGTGGACTCCTCAGTGCCGCATCCCAAATGCATGCCTCTCATCAGCACCCTGCACTGGTGCCCCAGCTCCTGCCTCTGTCTGACCTCATTCACGCCCTTCATTCTGCTCATTTCAAGATCTGTCCTGAAGAACAATACTGTCGGTGATAGGCTAACATTCATTCGCCTGCAGGGAAGACCAGTTAATTGTTGTTGTTATGTGCCGTAGAGTCGCCCCGACTCATAGCGACCCTTCCTTGGATTTCCGAGGCAGTATCACTACGGAAGTAGGATTGCCCAACCAACTGTTTAAATTTACACACCAACCAGAGATGAAGAAATTGATGATTTTTACCAATTTCTGCAGTTTGAAATTGATCAAACATACAATCAAGAGGAATTGATAACTCCTAGTTATTATACAAAAGTTGTAAATGATAAAGATGGTAGTTCGAAAATAATGGCCTTGGTAATACAAATGACACAGGAGATTACATGATTAGAGTTTTGCAAGACCAGTGAGTGACCTATTCATTCAACAACAAATGGTAACAATACACATGGACCTCATCAGATGGAATACACAGGAATCAAAATGACTGCATCTGCGGAAAGAGATGATGGATAAGCTCACTGTCGTCAGTCAGAACAAGGCGAGGGGCTGCCTGTGAAACAGATCATCATTTGCTCATATGCAAGTTCAAGTTGAAGCTGAAGAAAATTGAAACAAGTCCAGGAGAGACTGCATTTGAGTATATCCCACCTGAATTTAGAGACCATCTCAAGAACAGATTTTGACACACTGAACACTAATACCAAACACCAGATGAGTTGTGGGATAACATCAGGGAGACCATGCATAAAGAAAGCAAAAGGTCATTACAAAGATAGGAAAGAAAGAAAAGATCAAAGTGGATGTTAGAAAAGACTCTGAAACTTACTCTTGAACATAGAATAGCTAAAGTGAATGGAACAGATAATGGAATAAAAGAGCTGAACAGATTTCAGAGAGTGACGTGAGAAGACAAAGTATTATAATGAACTGTGCAAAGACCTGGAGTTAGAAAACCAAAAGAAAAGAACACACTTGGCATTTCTCAAGCTGAAAGAACTAAAGAAAAAATTCAACCCTCAAGTTGCAGTATTGAAGGATTCTGTTGGCAAGATGTTATATGATGCAGCGACCATCAAGGGAAGATGGAATACAGAGTTACTGTACCAAAAAGAACTGGTGGATGATCAGCCATCGCAGGAGGTAGCATATGATCAGGAAACCATGGTACCGAAAGAAGTCCAAGCTGCACTGAAGCCATTGGCGAAAAACAAGTCTCCAGGAATTGGCAGAATACCCATTGAGGAGTGCGGTGTAGTAATTACTTAGTGTGGCTTTTCTACCCATGAGTCTTTGTAAATTCCAAGGTGGGATTTTCTATGAGCATCTGAGGAGCTCCTGATTGCTGAAGCTATCCACCTGGGTTATTTCTGTTGGGCGTGGCACAATACAATGTTCTGGGAGGTTCCCACTCTCTCTCACATGCTTAGAGTTCTGATGCTGTGATTGGCTAGTTGGACCACCCTTCCGGGCTCAAAAGGAGGCCTCCTGGAGGCAGAGCTCTCTCTGACTGCTGGTTGAGGAAGATGTGCTGCCAAAAGAGACACGCGCCCCTGAAAGGGACACGTGTTGCTGGGAAAGAGACACAAGAGACACGTATTGCTGAGTGAGACACCGAGGGACCAGCGCTGCTGGGAAAGAGACTGTGAGAGACTCTTGGCTGAGGGACGGTGGGCTGAGAGAGAGACTGAGCATTTTTCCTGAACTTGAATTGTAGCCTGTGGTGCTTCCCTAATAAACCCTGTGATCTGTGAGTTCTGTGTGGCCACTGCAGTGAATTATCGAACCCAGGAGAGAGGTGGTGGGTGCTTTGGGAGGAACGGTTGGTGAAAGGGCTGGAGGGAGGCAGCATGTCTGGCCTTGCAGTAATAGGCCTTGGGTTACTGCTGGTAATCCTGTCTTCCTCTCATGGGATTACAGGAGGTCAGAACATGTGGCCTCCTTGCCGTTTTTGCAGGGAGTTTCAACAAACGTATATGACTGGAAGTGCTCACTTATCTATACCAAGAAATTTAGAATACAACTACTTGCCCAACCAACTGAAAGAGATCCATATCTGTGCCCAAACCAAAGAAAGGTGATCCAGCAAAATATGGAATTTACCAAACAATGTCACTCGCATCATATGCAAGTAAAGTTTTGCTGAAAATAATTTAAAAAAAAATTGGATCAGTGCGTCAACAGGACCTCCAGAAATTCAAGCCAGAGTCAGGGAGGACATGGAATGAGGGAGATCTTTGCTGATGTCAGATGGATTTCAGCAGAGAATATCCTGAAGATGTTTACCTGTGTTTTGTTAATTATGCATAGGCATTCGACTGTGTGGATCAGAGCAAACTATGGAGAACATATCAAAGAATAAGAATTCCATAATACTTAATTATGCTCATGAGGGATCTGTATATACACCAAGAAGCAGTCATTCATACAGAACAAAGGGATACTGCATGGTTTAAAATCGGGAAAGGTGTGTGTCAGGGTTGTATCCTTTCACCATTGTTACTCACTCTGTGCTGAGCAAATAAACCGAGAAGCTGAGCTATGAAGAACACAAAGAACAAGATTTCATTTTACTTGGATCCGCAATCAATGCCCATGGAAGGAACAGTCAAGAAATCAAATGACATATTGCCTTGGGTAAATCTGCAAAAGACCTCTTCTAAAGTGTTAAAAAGCAAAGACGACACTTAGAGAATTTTGAAAATGGTATTTTCAGTCACCTCACACGCCTGTGCAACTGACAGGAATGAGTTAGATCATAATCCACACTGTAAGAAAGAAGAAACACAAACTGAATGCAGGCCATTCGGGGATCATGAGCGCCAGCGTTTTTTAAAACTTCTTTCAAAAGAATGAAATTTGAAATTTGAGGTCTTAGGTATCTGAAATGGAAGTTTTTGTTTTTAATAAATGTTTCTTGATCCCCTTCCATATATGGCTTTATAAGTTTCTTTGTGTCAGGTTTGCTTTACTTGTTCCTAAGACATAACACAAGGACCCCTGGTGGTGCAGTGGTTAAGTGCTCACCTGCTATCCTAAAGGTTAGCACTTCAAACCCATCAGCACCTCCATTGCAGCCTAGGAAACTCTGGGGCAGTTCCACTCTGTCCTCTCCGGGCATTGTGAGCTAGATTGGACTCCACAGCAGTGGGTTTGGTTTGACCTCTGCATGCTTCCGTAAAGGCTGGCAGCCTTGGAAACCCTCTGAGGTGATTCTACTCAGTCATCGAGTGTCACTCTGAGTCAGAATTGACTTGGCAGCACCCAACAACAGCAGGACGTTGCACAGACGTGCAGCTGCTGACTTTAGTTCACTTTGTGTCTGCAGCATAAGTGAGTCAGGCTGGCTGAGGCTCAGGGGCCGGCGGCGGTTCTGTTGTGGAACGCTGCGGATGAGCCCTGAGTCGGGCCCTCTCAGTGGCTCTGCGTGTCCTCCTTGCTTTTGGCCGTTGTGGCTGCCGGAACCCGTGTACGCGTGGAGCTTTTGCTGGGAACCTGAGGGTGGGGCCCGGTGGCGCCCCTGGGGTCTGGCCTGGTTTCCTTTTTCCTAACGCATTTCTGTGTATATTCCACGGGCACATCACTGTCAGGTCTCATTTTTGAAGGTAGAAATGAAATAATTAGAACAGTTTGTCCTGAGACGGTATGAATCTCCTTTTCTCAGTTCAATCACAGACAAAGGATTGGAATTGTAGAGTGTGCTTTAAATAAACTCAAAACAATTCATGTGTTTTTATGCCATAAAATAAAAAAGTGTGATCCAGTCCTGCCTCAAAAAGCGGAGAGTCTAATCCCTGTGGCACAAGGTCACAGAACAAAAATGACATGCCAGGGAGTGAAGGCCGAAGCATTTCAGAAATAAACATGCAGAGTTTAAAGATGGGAAAAGAGCTTCCTCTGAGCAGCATGGCAAGGCTTCCTGGAGAGGATGGGACTTGTAGGCATTCAGAGATGGGTGGGGATTCAGTAAGCAGGCATTGGCGTGGAAGGGCATTCCAAACGGAGTACAATATGAGTGAGGAAGGACACACACAGCTCCTGTGAGGGTCTAAGGAGGCTTCTTGGGACATACAGCATAGGGCAGCCTAGATGCTGTGAGGCCAGTGAGGAGGCAGTTTTAGAAATACATGGCAGGGAGAGTGCAGGAGGCCAAGATAAGGTAAGAACACATCCCTTGGGGTGACTGAGTTAAAGAGGAAATAGGCCAGTCTGCCTGGAGTCACTTGAGCCAGGCACTGCGAGGGGTGGCAAGTGGGAATTTGACCTTGGTCGTTGTAGTTAGACTTCCAGGTTGTGGATCCAGGGAGCCATGCGGAGGGGCCTGATTGGACAGAGCTGAGGGCGAGGAGATGAGGCTCGGGAGGGCAGGGAGGCTACTGAGGACATTAGGGAACTTGATTGAGACGGAAGAGGACAGACAGTTGGACGTGCGTGGAGACCAGTTACTCTTTGTTTTCTCCCCAAAAAAAGATCTGAAAGCAGAAATGGACCTAGTGGCGAGAGAGGATAAGTCATTCCCCAGAGGCCAGGGGAGGATGGGCTCGTGTGCCCCAGGATGGTAGAGTAGGGGTGGTGTCGCCAGCACTCTGTTCGGCTCTGTTGCATTGGTAGGGAGTCTCTATTTGCCAAGATTGGGTGGTGTGGGCCCAGGGCTGGCAAACAGAAGATTTGGACTGAGCTCTAGTGCTACAGTGGTTAAGGGATTCACCTGCTAACCAAAACGTTGGCACTGCAAACCCACCAGGTGTTCCATGGGAGAAAGATGAGTAAGTCTGCTTCCGTAAGTATTTCTAGCCTCAGAAACCCTATGTGGCAGTTCACTGCCTTGCAGGGTCGCTGTGAGTTCCCTGTGAGTTGGAATTGACTTGATGCAGTGGGTTTGGGAATTTTAAGGAGTTTTTTTTAAAAAAAAAAGTTTCCCAGTACCTTGACTGCCAGCATCTGTGGGGTTTCTGTTGGTTTGCTAGCATGCCAATGGAGAGGCAGCCCTGAGGGCACCGGGCCACAGCTTGGCACGGGCAGAGTGCTCATGCACTGTCGTTCTCCCTGGACACCCTTCTCCAGGTCCCCTGCACTAGGGCTTCCTGGCTGGAGCCCGTGTCGGACTTGCTCCCCGTGGCCCTTGTACGTCCCTGTCCTCTCACAAGTCATCACAGTGGGACCGCAGGTGCCGAGAGCCTGTCCGAGCAGGTGCTGCAAGTAGATGCGGCTTGTTGGTCCTGCTGGCCTTTGTGTGTGCTCTCGTTAGTTCTTGGTAGCATTAGCTGTGCCGCTTTGGGGAATGTGCAGCACTAACCGGCTCTCCTTTTGTAGTCCAAACCAGGTTGCTGAGAAGGTGGCTTCTCGGATTGCTGAGGGCTTCGGTGACGCCGCGCTCATCATGGTACGTCCCCTGCTGCTCTGAACGGTGGTGGGTGGTCTGTGGGTACGGTGACGAGTAAGCAGCCCCTTGCTCCCGTGGCATTTCTGTGGCTACTTTGATAAGTTCATCCTCATTGGACTATTGCTGCCTCTTGCAGTCTTCTCCCAGCTGCAGCTTTAACCTTTTCAAGACTAAATTATTTCCTGCTTTGAATTTTTTGTTGTGTTTTTGAATGAAATGAAAAAAAAAAAGTTGAGGTCATAAAGATTTTGATACGATTACCAGAACACATACGGTCATAACGATTTTGATACAATTACTGGAACATACATGTCAGAGATCTCTGGTGCTGGGGTTGGTGAGATGAGGCCCATTTCTTCAGTCACACAGTTACAGAGGCCCGCACCAGATAGCAGCACCCACTAAAAGTTGGAATATCAGCTTCCCACTAAACTCCAGAGGCAGAAAATGTCGATGGGTACTGCCTGTCCCGTAGGTCATGAAAGGGTCAGAGTTGTAGAACGAGAAGCAACGGTTTGAGTACCACTGCAGTCACAGCACAGGTCCATCCAAAAGGGGATACGCTTTCAGGTGCAGTGGCCCTGGAAGGGGCTTCCAAAAGCGTATCCCCGGAAGGGGCTTCCATCCCGGCAGCATCACACCACCTGGGAACTGGGTGGACATGCGGGCTCTCGTGCCCCAGTGGGCCTGCTGACTGAGAAGTGCTGGGTGCTTCCCAGCAGCCTCTGCTGGAACAAGCCTCCCCAGGCATCTGATGCTCACTCAGGTGTGAGGACCCGTGAGAGAGCAGTCAGCTCAGCCCTGGGGAGAAGTAGGTGGGGTCCACCATGAGCCTTGTAAGATGCTCTTGCTTCTGAGAATTCCAGCAGTGATGTTTGGGGGGAGGAGGGAACAGTTGATATGAAAGATGTGATATTTATCTGAAGGAGTGCTGGTGACCTGTTGGTTAAGCACTCAGCTGCTATAACCAAAAGGTCGGAGGTTTGAACCCACCCAGTGGCTCCATGGAAGAAAGACCTGATGTTGTGGTCCCGTAAAGGTGACAGTCTAAGAAACCCCGTGGGGCAGTTGTACTCTGTCACCTGGGGTCACTAGGAGTCAGAATTGACCTGACACCCAACAGCAACCTTTTCTTATAATCCAGCTGTCTTTTGGTGAGATCCCACACATCAGCTTTGTGGCATCGACATGCTGTAAGGAAGGTTCTGCTCTGAGCCAGTGTTTGCCCTGCTCCTCGGCAGCTGTGTGATGGCGTTTGTCCTTTGCCTTTGCTCAGGTAGACAACACGAAGTTTACAATGGACTGCCTCGTGCCTACGGTCCACGTGTACGAACACCATGAGAACAGATGGCGGTGCAGAGACCCACACTAGTGAGTGCTGGCCAGCCGCGTGGTTCATGGGTTCCAATGACAAGCTGGGGTCTGTGCCTGGGCACCTAGCTCCCACAGGAAAGCCGGTCCAAGCCTCCTTGGGTTTCCGAGTTAGTGTGTTTTCCAGGGGCGTTTACTGACCTTCCAAATTCTGACAGTAGAGGAAAGGTGCCAACACATCTGAGTCCTGTCACCCTGGCCCCAGGCGCCTCTCCCCAAGCCAAACCCTCCATCCCTTTGTGTGGTGGGCTTCTCCCACTGTGTGGTGGGCTTCTCTGGTGCTCATTCTGAAAGCATCAGTCATCTTCCAGCATTTTCAGAATTTTATTTGACGTATCTCTCATGCACTGACCATGCTTTCTGGGGGTTTTTGTGTGCATCTGTATGTGTTTAAAATGTGTGTTTCCTAATCCTCATTACTGTCTTCCTTTATGCTGCTTTGCATATGGCCGGTGTCTTCCGTTTACTCTGTTGAGAAGCCACGTGTCTACTGTGGTCCAAGATTAATTTCTCCATCTTTGGCCTCATAGTGATTACTGTGAAGACTGGCCTGAAGCCCAGAGGATCTCAGCCTCACTCCTAGACAGCCGGTCCTATGAAACCCTTGTGGATTTCGACAATCACCTGGATGACATTCGGAATGACTGGACAAACCCCGAAATCAACAAAGCTATTCTGCACCTGTGTTAGAGAGGGAGTCCCCTGACTGGCCTCCACAGCACTGAAGAGTAAAACACAGTTTAAATGTAAATAGACAGTCACTTAGCGTGAGCGGAAAGCCAGCTTGTCAAGAAGTGGCTGGTGCCCTGAGGGAGAGCAGGAGGTCGCTCGGCCATCTTTCTCCTGCAGGCTCCGGAAGAGGCACAGAGGACCCAGGCTGAGCTCCTTGGGCTCCCTTCCCAGTCGTGTGTCACTGTAATCTTCAAATCAGAGTTATTTCTGCTTGTCCAAGATTGTTCCTATTAAACCGTTTTAACTAACCTTTTCTAATCTGGAGAGAATACTTTTTAAGGTTTATGAACTATCTTAAAAACAAAAAAAAAACACCTCTTTTACTCAGTGAGTGTGCTTGTGAGTTTTTATGCAGTTTGGGGTGATGTCATCCCGTCCCATGGGCAACATACAACAGTCGGTACCACTCAGCCGGTACCCAGGAACCAAGAACCTGTGTCCTGGTACTGCAATGGTCAGGCAGGCCGCAGCGTCGTACTCTCATAGTAGCAGTGACTTTCCTCAGTGGAAATAAAACCACTGTTGCCTGAGAAACCTCCATAATTGAGGGAGAAACAAACCATGTTTGTGATGAGCACTTGGATGCGTGCACAGCTCGCTCCATGAACTGCAATGCTGGCCAGCGTCCTGCAGAATCGGGAGAGGAGAGTGGGACTGCTGTGGTCATGTGTCCTTTGCTTTCTTCCAAAAGCACTTTAGTCAGGGCTCCCAGATGACTTGACGTGATCATCCGGTTGCTTCTGATCTGTCTTCAGAGCAGTTGTGTCTTTTGTGTTTATAGCAACAGAAGAAAAACAAAGTGAGACTTAGACTTGTCTGCAAGTCTGACAGATGCCTGTAGTTTTGACACCTGAAATATTTGGTCAGGTTTTCTAACCCAACAAGTAGGGGAGATCCAGACATGGCAGGCAGCAGGTATGCTGTTCCAGCCTGCCAAATCCTCTCCCTCTCTTCAGACACCTCTTAGCCTTGGCTTTTTAGGCTCACACTTCACGTGAGGATCAAGAGACCAAAGCCTGTGGACGTGAAGGAAAGGACCCTATCGGTGTGCATGGTCTTCACCGTCCTCGTCCCCAGAGGCCAAGATCTTCACAACTGGAGCGTAGTGGGTGATCAGGCACCAGCTGCATCTGTGTCCGTTTCAGAAAAGGAGACAAGCAGCCCAGCCTGTACCGTGTGAGGCTCTGTTCCGGGAATTGACAGGAACTCTGCAGCCTGCATCCCGGGGCCACGGGGAGCTGGCAGAGCTGTTGGGATCAAGTAAGAGGTAAAGGCTGGTTTCTGGGGTGTATTAGCTCCGTGAGGTGGTCTTCCCACAGTTTCACCTCTGTCTGACTCTTGGCCTTTGACTCCCCTGTATCTTCCTGGGAGTGTGTGCTGTGTCCATCTTGTGGGTAGGTCTAAGCTGACACCAGGTACCTCCTCGTGGGCTTCCCTGTCTGTGATTGAGTCAGGCACACATTTTCAAAAGAAAGTATATTATATCCTCTGAAGGGAAACGTGCATTTGTCCAAAATGAGACAAAAGCTGGATTTCTAAAGCTTAGGTGGCTCCTTATCCTTAGTAAAAATAGCCAAAACTTCTCCTGAGCCCCCCACCCTGCAGGGTGGGTGAATTGGTCAGGGCCCTACTGCCACCTGGGGCCGGACCTGGCTGTGTGCACCACCACCAGGCTGGTCTTGGTATTATTCCACACCTGGAGCAAAAGGAGGGTTGCGGCTATAGCCACCTGAAATGTGAAGCTCCACCCTCTTATAGAGAAGACTTACAGGAGCCACACAGCACGTTTGGATGCTGCCAAATCTCTGTTCATCAGAATGCTCTGGACAGAGTGTGTGTGTGAGAAAGAGAGAGAGACCAGGGAAGGTGTCCCTTTCAGCCAGCCATGTTTCAAATCATTCCGGTGGACGTTTTTATCTGTTCACAAGATCATCGTTAAAGGTAAGGAGGACAGGTTATTAACGTGTATGAAAATGTCCTCCATTTCTCATCACAGTGCCCAAGGGCACTGAGCATAGGAAGGTGGGCAGTGTGCTTCCAGAGGAAGATTCCGTTCTCATTGATCCAGAACACGGTTAGGGGTGGGTTGGTGATTGAAGTTCTCAAGTCACTTTCTGTATTTTTGGGCCACCGTTGTGTGGTTCTAAGTGATTTGCTCCAGTGACTGCTTTTTGTTGATAGATGTTCTTGGAAGCCTGTTGTTTCTGCATCTCATTTTCTCAGCTTTTCTGACCTACCTTTTTGTTTTGCCTTCAAAAGAAAACTGCTTGCTTCTGGAGAGATCCCTCTTTGGCATTCATATGTCCCACCACCATAGCTGCTTCGTGACATTGATGACTGGAGGAGAGAGAAGGAGCCGTGGGCGGGACTCCCCGGGCCCTGCAGGCATTTTTAGCAATTTCGCTGAAGAGGGCTGAATCTAAAACTTCCGCTTTGCGGGCAGTTCAGGAGGCTTTCTGCTGGCTCTCACTGCCTTTTGGTGTCGGACTGTTTCTCAGTTCAGTGAAAAGCCTGGTAGGCTCTCGGGTGGATGGTGTGACTCGGACTGAAACCCGTGCATTTTGGAATCTGGGGAAGGCCTTCACCGTTTTCATCCTCATAATGTTGACTGTCACTCCCCAAAATGCTTAAGATACGCTTGAACAGGAAGCAACGTCAGATCACTGCTGCTTTCTTAAAGCAAATTCCATTCTTCCATGCATCTCCTCTTCCTTGAGGATAGTCCTCGGAGGGAACTTGTCCTTGCAGGACTCTGAAATGCTGCAGGTGGAGACTGAGCTGAGATTTCTCTGTGGAGAATGGACGGACAAGTCCAACTTGACAGCAACCGAGCGTTCTGTTCTTGGTCAGTGCACAAGTGCCAGCAAAGACGTTACAAGAGGAAACTGTAGCTGAACCTATGTTCCCTTATAAACCAGAGTAAACCAAAAGCTGAACCCTCTGCTGTCAAGTCAATTCTAACTCCTAGAGACCCTGTAGCACAGAGTAGAACTGCCCTACAAGGTTTCCAAGGAGCTCTGGTAGCATAGTAGCTGAAGCACTTGACTGCTAACCAGAAGGCTGGCGGTTCAAACCCACCAGCCACTCCTCGGAAGGAAGGTTGGGCAATCCTACTTCCATAGTGATACTGCCTCGGAAACCCAAGGAGGGGTCGCTATGAGTTGGGGCCGACTCGACGGCACATAACAACAACAACAAGGTTTCCAAGGCTGTAATCTACGGCAGCAGACTGTCACGTCTTTGTCCCGCAGAGTGGCTAGTGGGTTCAAACTGCCAAAAGGTTGGCAGTTGAGCACTTTAACCCCTGTGCCACCAGGGCACCTCCAAAGCAGAATAGCATTCGTTTAAAAAAAAAAAAATGTTGCATGGATTCTGGCTCACAGCAGGCTGGTGTGTGTCCAAGTACAACTGTGCTCCACAGGTTTTGTTTTTAACTTCACTGTCATTTGGGTGAAAATTTACAGAGCAGATTGGTTTTCCGTCGGCGGTATTCCGTGACTGTGATTGCAGTCCCCACCATGTGACAGCACTCTTCCCACTTCCTCCCTGGGTTCACCATTTCCCTTCATCCTCTGTCCTCTTTTTGTGTTCGGAGCTTTATTCCTGGGCAGATGCTGCCCTTTTGATCTTGGATAGTGAATGTTCTCAGGAGTGTGTCCCTCCCTCGTGTTAATGTTCACCTGATCAGCCTGTCTGTTGTTTGGCTGAAAGTTGAGCCGTGGGGGTGAGTTCAGTTCCAGGCTTAAAGGGTTTCTAAAGGCCATACTTCTGGGAGTACTACCAGTCTCTGTGAGACCAGTAAGCCTGATTTTGCGTTTTGTTCCACATTTTTCTCCCCTTTTCTCCAGGACCTCCTGCTGTGATCCCTTTCAGAGCAGTCAGCAGCAGTAGCTGGTCACCATCTAGTTCTGGTTCCAGGATCATGGAGGCTGGGGTTCACATGGTCCATTAGTCCTTTTGACCAGTTCTTTCCTTGAGTCTTTGATTCTCTTTGTTCTTTGCTCCAAACAAGGAGAGAGTAAGAGCTGCACCTTAGATGGCCAGTCACAAGCTTTTAAGACTCAATCGCTCTTCAACAAAATAGGATGTAGACCATTGTCTTTGTGGGCCGTTAGCCAGTTGACCTTGGTGTCCCCCAGGATCCATGGTTTTCATCTGCTGATTGTTCAGAAGTGAATCAAAAGGCCTTCCTTTGAGGCGGCTCTGGATTGACTCAAAGCACCAACCTTTTGGTTAGCAGCCAAGTGCCTTAACCATTTGCATTGCTCAGGGACTTCCAGAAAGTACTGTAAATATCATAAGTAAGTCTGTAAATAACTACATTTCAAAATAAGCATCACAGCCCGTGGTAGGTGGAGGGTTGGCCCAGGAGGCCGGCCACCACCAGGTGGAACTGAGAACCCCCAGTGGTTCTGAGCGGGGTGGAGGTGAAGCCTTCAAGATGGGCCAAAGGCGTAACCCTGAGATCATCTCTGCTGCATTTAACTCCTCCTTCCTTAGAGAGAGTGTCCTCAAAGAGACTGTCCCGTCCCTCCCCACAGGGTCTCACTGCCCGTTCTTGAGAACCAAGTGCTGTAGCCACGTGTGGAGTGATGGGCTCACAGGCAGGGGCAGGAGTGGGACAGTCAGCCAAGAGTGCTGGCCCTCGAATCCTCAGCTGGTGCAAGGCTCAACTTTGTCCCTGCAGGGGCAGAAGCAGGACAGTCAGCCAAGAGTGCTGGCCCTCAAATCCTCAGCTGGTGCAAGGCTTAACTTTGTCCTTCTCTAGTCCTTGGTCCAGGGGCGAGATACCTCTCATATCCAGTGCCTCATCTGGAAAAGGAGAGCGGTGACACCTACTTGCAGGGCGTTACAGTGGCCTTAAGGGATAGTATGTGTGCTAACACTGAGTGTTGCGTCTGCATTGGAAAATATTCTTGTCTGCTAAGTTTTTAAATAATTCTACAGCAGCCTGTTGG